AGAGTATTATATATTAATTAAATAAAAAATTTTAAAATCATATTATTTAATTACTTAAAATATTAAATATCAATTTTTTTTTTTATATATGTATTAAAAAAAAAGTTATGTTTTATCATTAATTTAATTAACACACATATTTAAAAATTAGAAAAAGTCATATAATTAATAATAATAATCTTTAAATAAATGATAAATTTTTAAAAAAGTATAAAAATAAAAACAAAATAAGAATAAGAAATTAAATTTATATATTAGAAAAAAAAAAGTAAGTAAATTATTTAATATAAATTAGACTTAAAAAAAATATAAAAGTATTTAAAATAAATAGGGATTTAAAATTATTAAATAAATAAATTAAAATTCCAATATTAATATACTTTAAATGTATAATAATATATAGAAAAAACATAAAATAATGTTAATGTTTAAAAAAATCATTATGTTTAATAAATATTTTTTATTTTTTTTTTTTCTAATAAATTTTATGGTTATTTGCTAATATTTTATATATATCCAAAATTACTAAATTTAACTTTTTATAAAATAAAAATTTTATAATAAATATATTTTATATGTTTTCGAAATTCAAAAATATATAAATAAGTATAAAATAATATTTTAATTTTATATTTTTTATTTAATATATAATTATTAATAAATTTATATCTTTATTTTAATATTATTATAGAATTGTATTTTAATTTTATTCTTTTATTAATGTATTTAGTTAAAAATTGTTTTTTTTAAAAAAGGAATCAAAATATATATAATAATGTATTTTAAATAAAGTATTCTTTTTCTTTTTTACGATTTGATAAACATTAATATTTTGAAAAATAGAATTGAAAATAAAAAAATATAAAAAATTTCATTATTAATTACTAAAATAATAATATAAAAATACACCTTTTTTAAATTAGCGTATTATTAAAAATGAAATCAATATATAAATACAATTAAACTGTTTTTTAAAAATTAATTTAAATATATATAAAATGATAAAATGTTTTTAAAACTAATTCTTATAAATATATTAATATTTGGTGCCTTCACTAATTTGTTAAATACTGAAAACGGATGCCCTTAGGGATGTATATAATGTAATTAATCTGGGGAATGTTAATAATGTTAAGATGGTTATTAATAAGATTAAGAAAGTAAATAATGCTTAGAAATCGCTAGTAGAGTTCTAAATATTGAAAATAACTGCCCTGAAGGATGCAAAAATTGTTCTGATTCTAGTTAATGTTAAGAATGTTAAGATGGTTATTATAATAAATATGAAAATAATTATGGTTAAAGTTTTGTAGAATGTCTTAGTTGTAGTGATTTATTAGTTAATTGTACTAGATGTAGTAAGAGTAGTTGTAATTTATGTGGTATTGGCTATGAATATGAAGAAAGAAAAAATAAATGTATGTTTATTACCTCAGATCCCAAACTACTATAATGTGACTAGGGATGTACTGATTGCCATTATTCAGGAATGTGCTATACTTGTTCAGATGGTTATTTTGAAGATTTTGATGAGCCTAATGCAAATGGATTTAGATATAGATTGTGTGTATAAAGATGTACAACATTTGATAATTGTATTACATGTAATTAAAAAAAATGCACTAGATGTGAGAAAGATTATTGGGTTAGTTAAGAAACAAATAGATGTGTAACATTTAATGGGTATAATAGATTTTTAGTAAAAGCTTAAGACGATAATTAATAATTTAATAGTTATTGTGGGGTCTTTACTTTTGCTATTGGTTATATTTTATTCGGATTATTATTGTGATAATTTGTTTATTTTTATTTATAATTAGGTGTTGAAGAATATTTATATATTTAGTTTTGCTTTTAATAATTATTTATAATTGTTTTTTAATCGTTTATTATTTCTGTTTTTTTTATATTTTTGAAAATCTTTCAATAATATTAAATAATAAATTTTTTAAAAAATATAATAAATATATATGTTTTTTATTTATTTTTTTGTAGGCTATATTTATTTTTTTATAAAATTAATATATTATTATATGTTTTTTTTTTTTATAAATATTTTTTTTTTAAACATAGATTTAAAAAATATTAAAAATAATTTTATTTTTTATATAAAAAAAATATTAAAAATAATATATTTGGTAATTTATTTTTAATTAATATTATATTAGTTATATGTATTAATTCGAATATTTTATAAAAAACCAAAATTAATTCATTATCATTTTATATTTTTCAATAATTTATTTATTTATTAAATTTTGATTTATATTTTCATTATTTTTTATTAAATTTTTAATTATTATTTTTAATGTAAAAAGCTTAATTTTAAAAATTTCTTTATTTATTATCATTTAAAGTATTTTGATCTTTTCTTCTAATTTTAAATACTGTTCGAATTAAAATATTCTTTTATTTTTACTTTTAAAATTTATTTTATATTTTTTTTTAATATTCAAAAATAATATATCTATTATTCAAAACCTTAAGATTTTTATGTTTTTAAAGTATTTAAACTATTAATTCTTAAATAAATTATTATATTAAATTTTTGATTAAAAATTATTTTTATTTAATTCGTTTTGATTTATAAATCTTAATTTCTTTATATAATTATTATTATTTTTATTTAAAAAAAAAATGAATTATTTTAATTTTTTTTTTAAAAAAAAATTTTTTTTTAACAATTATATTAATGTTTTATTTAATTGATATTTAATTATTTTTTAAAATATTTATTTTTTAAATTATAATAAATCTAAATATGTATTCACAAAAAATCATAAATTTAATATTTATATTATATTTAAAATATTAAAAAAAATGCATTTATTATGATATTTTTTTTATCAGAAATTTATATAATTTGTTTTTAGGATAATTAATAATATTGTATGTTTCACAAGTCTTAGTTATTGATAAATGAAATTATATATAAACTAAATAAGGAATTTATTCTTTACTGATTTTTATTCTGGACGTATAGACGTATAGATTTTTAAAATATGGGATATATTTTATAAATTTAATTCCTTAAGTATTTTTTTTTTAAATTTAGTTTTATATTTTATTTTTATTATCATAAATATTTTATATATGAAATAGTAAAAACTGTTGTTAGTTAAGGAAATACTGAAAAAGTAATATTTTTATCAAATTATGAAATATAAAATAAAGTAATTAATTTAATTATTATAAAAGCTTTAATAAATATTTTAATTAAAATAATCAAATATTATTTATATTTAATTATTTTTTTATGATATTTATAAATTATTACAAAAACGAAAGATTGATTTAGATACACTTAAATACGAAATTAAGTTTATTTAAGCAATGAATTTTGTTTAAAAAAGCAAAAAAGCTCTTTTAAAGATTATAAATTTTGTAATTTATAAATAATATTATGAAAAACTAGTAATAATAAAAAAAATAAAAATAAAAATATCTTCATAGGAATATCAAGAAAAAAATATAATTACTTAAACCTTAATAGATATTTAATTATTGAAAAAAGCAGACTATATAAATTTCTAGATAGAAAATATACAGAATAAGTAATATATTTTATAATATAAATAAATAATTATATAATTTTATTTTATTTTTATAAATAAATAAATTTGTATATATATTTATAAGTATATATTTAATATTTTTTTTTTTTATATATATATATAATTAATATATTTTATATATATTTTCATTTTTATTTAATAATTTTTTTTATTTTTCCTAATTATTTATAATAATATAAAAAATGTATAATTATTATTTTAAAAATATTTTTAAAATATATAATTAGCTTGAGATTAAATTATTAAAAATCTTAAATTTTTTATAAATAGAGAAATAAATAAAATAATTACGAATATAATATATAGATAAAATAAATCAATTTTTTTGTATTAAAAGATAAACCATATAAAATAGATTTTAAGATTTAGAAACACATATTTATTAAAGAAAAATTAATATAAGAAATTCTAATTAAGAATTTGCAAAATAAAAATGAGAAATTTTATAATTAATTTATACTAATTTGTATGATTTTTTTAAAAACCTTAAATAATATAAAATTTAATTTTTTTTTCAAATCACTCTTAAATAAAAATTTTAATTATTTAAAATTTATAATTAAAAATAAAAATAAAAGAAACATTAATAATTAAATAATAAGAATTTAATTATCTATTAACCATAAAAAAAACCAAGAAGTATATTATAAAATTAGTTTTAAGCAATAAATTTTTAAATTTATACAAAAAAGTAAAAGCATCATTAATATACATAAATTTTTTATTAAAAAAATAAAAACTTTTTAATGTAAAAGTAATAATAATAAAACAATACAGGTTTAAAATTTAAAAGCTTATTTAAAAAATAATAAAAAAAAGGAAAAACAAAATCTAAATAAGAATATAAAAAAGTAATTAAATATTTGTAGCCAAATTAAAAAAATTAAAAAAATGAAATAAATATAAAAAATAATTTAAATATATTGAAATTTAATATATAATAAATAAAAAAAATATGAATATAAAATGAAAGATTTATTAATTTTAATCATCTGTAAAATATAAATATTTAATAAAAAAAGAATATGATTTATGTATTTATTTAAAAAATATATTAAAATATTTTTATTTTAATAATAATAATTTATAAAAAAAAAATTGAATAATTATTTAATTATTTTATTAGAATTTTATATTAAATAAAAAATATTTTAAAAAAATTTATATTTATATAAATTATAGTAAATAATTATATTTAATATTTAAAATTTAATCAATTAAATTTAAATTAAAATGTAAGCAATATATTTTTAAAAAAATAAATAATCAAGAAATATTTATTATTTATTAAAATAAAAAACTAAAAAAATTAATTATATTAATAATATATATATATAAAAATATAATTTATAATAATTAATTATAAATATATTTAAAAATAAATTTTTAATTTGCTTTTTTACAACGAAATCACAATAACAATGCTAATAATACATAATAACCAATAATAAAAGCAAAAACTCCTTAATAATTATTTTATTATTAATAATTGACTTAAACCTAAATTAAATTTCTTTAAGTCTTTTCCAATTTATAACAATTAATTTTTCCGAATTCCTATGTTCCTTAAGGACATAATGACAAGCAGTTATTTTAATATAAAATAAGACTTTTATCTTTTTGACAACTTGTACAACTTTCAGCATAAATAGCACAATTTTAGCATTTACTCGAACATTATAGACATTAGTTAAAATTCTAGTAAAATCCAGAAGGACATTATTAAACGCAAGTACCCTAATATAATAGTTTTCCAGAAATGCATTTTATACATTTATCAGCTTAACAAGATTAACAATCTTAAATATTGCATTATAAATCTTGATTTTAATTGCCATTATCATTATTTTATAATGTTGAATTATCATCATCAATACATATTTTTTAATAAGTTTTATAATCATAAGATTATTTTTTATCACATTTACTAACACATTATCCTTTGATTAAGAAATCCTCAAGATTTTAACATCTCAAGCATATTTCTCCAGATAAACTTTTTTGACAGAATAAACAATGAGAATTAGCTTTACTACAATTATAAATAGCTGCTTAATTAATAAGTATGCATTTTTATTAAAAATAATCAAATTTATATCCACTCATACATAAAGTACAACTACTTGAACTACATTTTTAACAATTTTCAAATTTACTGCTGCAACTTAAACAAATAGTATTTCCACTTTCATACTAATCTTAGTAATAGCCATCTTAACAACTTAAACAATAATTTTCATAAACACATTTTTTACATCCCTCACCACAAACAGCACTATTACTGTTTTCATTTGTATTTTAATATTCATTGCATTATTATTAAGATTAATTATATTTATATCCATTAATACAAGAAATACATTCATTTTTATCACATTTTTCACAATTTTCGAATTTAAGGATGCAAGTTAAACATATTGTCTTTCCATTGTAATCCTAATTTTAATAAAAACCATATTTGCAACTTAAACATTAATTACCATAAATACATGTTTTACAGCCTTCTTCACAAACAGCATCAATATTGCTTTCTTCTTATTAACATTATCTTTCAGTTTCATTATATTAATATCCACTCATACAAGTATTGCATCCGCTATAATCACATGTTTCACAGTTTTCGAATTTATTGCTGCAACTTTAACATATTGTTTTTCCACTTTCATCCTATTCTTAATAATAACCTTACTAACATTATTAAAATTCTCCAGCTTCATTACAATTTTCACATCAATCATGACAATTAGAAGTAATTTATATTTATATTTATATTTATATTTATATTTATATTTATATTTATATTATTTTTTAAAAAATTTAATTTTTATTATTATTAACAAAAATTGCAATCTTTTATTTATATTTTAAAAACTATTATTATTACATATTAATAGTTTAAATATTTATTAAATTATTGAATCTATTTATTTTACTATAAATTTATGTTTTTGCTTTTTTGTTAAATTCAACAATTCCATTACATAAATCCTAATTATTTATATATATTTTTTTTATTTCATATTAAATAGTATGTTCTATTTATATTTTTTATTATGAAAACCTTAAAAATATAATATTATCTTCACATAATTTTATCGTTATTAAAAGATGCTTTTTTATGAGTTTATTATTAATATGTTTTAATTATTCTTATAATTAAATAAAAAAAATATATTAGTTTATTATATATAAAATATAATAATTATATATTAATCAAAATATTAATTTTTGAGTATTGTTTATATTATTTTATCAGATTTTCTATTTCCAATAATTAATATAATCTATTTTTTTGTGATAACTAGTTTTAATTTTTTATATAAGTCTTAATTCCTCAATCAAAAAACATCATATTCTACTTCCAAAATTTGCAATTTTAAAATTTTTTCTGACTATTTGATTTTTTTTTTTTATTACTTTTCTAATTTTTCCTATTCTTCTTAAATTTTTATTTTTCATTTTATATTTCAATTATGTTGGGTAATATGAAAAAAATCGACTTTAAAAATTCTAAAAATATCTAAGTTTTATATTAATAAATTATTTAAATTTTATTTTCATATATTAATAATAAATATATATATAAATTTTATACTATATATAGGATATTGTTAATTTATCACTTTAATATATATGCTTTATCACTTATATTCATATATAATCTTTAATTAAATTATAATTTTTTTCAAACTTATAGCTTAATGTGGATATATTAATAATTTCAGTGTATATTTTTCCAATTAGAATTTGTTATAATTTAGATTATTATTATTAAGGATATGATATATTATTTATTTATAAAGAATTTTAAAACTTTATATAAAACAAGGAGTTTTAAGTCAATTTTTTAATAATATTCCGATAGTGATAAATATATTATAAATTTAAGGGTTTCTTAAAATATTGAATTATTATGCATAATTAGTATTTTTTATTTTATTTTTAATATTAAATACATATGAAAATATATATTTTTTATAAAATAAATTTAAAATATTTCTTTATATACATTTGAATTTATAATATAATAATCATAAAAATTATAGTATTATTTTTAAATTTATTTTTTAAGAATTTTTTGACTATGTTTTACTTGTTCTTGTATAATTATTTTAACTTTTTTTTTATTTAAATGAATAAAAATAAACCAAAATTTTTACTTCAATATAATATTATTTATGTTTGCAAATATTATTTTTAAAGTGCTTTTTATAAAATATAATTTCAACTGTTATATATTTGATAAATAAAGCTGCATTATTAGGATTACATTATAGACAATACTAAATATATACATTTTATCTAAATCTTATTTTTTTTGAATTATCGTATACAAAACATTTATAAAGGATTATTATATTGAATAAAACCAAAGGAAGGTTTCTTACAAGCTTTAGTTTTTTAGTTTTTTTTAAAAAATCCTAAATAAAATTAAATTAAACACAACTTTATTACTATCATAATTAAAGAAAAAGTTTCAATTGCAAGTATTACACAAATGATAAATTATTTACTTAACATTACACGAATTTTCTACCACTAAAGCTAGTAAATACCAAAAGTTTAATTAAGCTAAATCCTTATTTCTCATTACATTTATCCATGTCATAAAATAACAAACAGCACACTTACTAACAAATATTCCTAGATATTAGAACGATTTCTTTTACATCACTCACAAAAGTTTCATTATCAAATGCTCCAAAATATTATAGATAGCAATAAACTCATTTAAATCCAGCTGGGCTTATACGTTAACTGTTTGCACAAATACCTTTTTCAGAACAGAAATCTTACATATAGTGGATATAATTACTGAATAAATTATAAAAATAGAATTCATCTAAAATATTAAATTATTTTTGTTTTTTATATAATATGTTTGATTTATTCTATATTTGTAATTTAATATTTTAAGATAATTTAATTTAATAATTATTATTATATCAAATATTTAAATATAATTTATATTTTAAAAAAAAAAATTAATTCATTAAGAAAATAATAAAATAATATAAAAAAGTAAATTAGCTAATCAACTCTCAACTCTCCGTATAATCTAAGAAATAAAAAAAAATTATTAATCATAATTATTTTAAAAAACCGTGGACACAGAAATATTTGCAGATTATATAATAATAGTCTAAAATCCAATGGATTTATAAACATGTAAAATTTTAAAAAGTAAAAAGAATAAAGATAAGATTGGTATATTTATAAAATAATTTATATAAAGTATTAAAAATTGATATATAATAATAATTTAGAAGGTCTTTAACTTATTTAATAAAATAAATGTATTAAAGTTTTAAAATTAAATAAATAATACATATATATTTATTATTAAAAAAAATTATTAATATTTTAAAATTAATGTGTTAAACTTAAAAAATAAAATTGATTTTGTTAACGAAGTTCTGATAGAATTAATGATAATACCGTACACTCATTAGCTGATGGTCTTGTACATCTAGAATAATTACTTTTATATGGTTCGCATTTTCCAGCACTTTCATATAGTCTTAAAGGATAATCTGAATTTTAAGTATTGCTTGGGTTAAAGAATTTACCTGAAAGGCATAAGATCACTATAAAAGTTTCATTATCAAACTTTCATACACATTCTATATAGCCATCAACTCTTCCAAATCCAGCTGGATGAATACATTTAAATTTACACAAACTCCTTTTTCTGAACAGAAATAATTTGGACATATAGAGGGGTATAATTACAGAATTTTTTATAATTTTAAAGACATGTAATTTAACCTTTAGCTTTTTTGGCAACTTTAATGGTGTACTTTTTTATATTTTATTTTCCTTTTCGGCATAAAACTTATAATTTATCATTGGTAAATAAACAAAAGATACAAAATTGGAATAATTAAGAATAAACGAAAATCCTATAGAAGACGCAAGCTTAACTCAAGAATATTCGAACAAAAGCATCTTATTTAAGCCCAAAACCTCATTTAAGAACCTAAAAAAGATTCTATTTATGTATATTTTACAATCTAATTTAATAAAATAACTTTAATCATATAATTATTCCAGCCAAAATAATTTAAATGAAACAAAGATCAAATTAAATGTAAAAAATGCCCCAAAAATATTTATTAGATTATTTATTTTATTTTGGAATAATTGCGGCTTGTTTTTTATCGTAGGAAAGTTAAAATGTCAATAATAAAAAAAGTTTTATTAATTACTAATGGTATATAAAGTAATAAAAAAATTTAAAAAATAATGAAAAATAAAAAATTTATAAAACTAAATAAATATTTGTTGCCTAATTTTAATCTTTAAGAAGTTAATACAAATATAATAAATAGTAAAAATAAATAAAAATGTAATATTTAAATGAATGATATTAATAAATCTAAAATTTTAAATGAAATAATAATATTGAAAATTCTTATATTTAATTTTATTTTATTTATTATTAATTATTAAAAAAATTAAAAATAAAAATAAAAATTTGTTATAGTTTTATAAATATACTAATTATAATAATTAATATATTTATAAATAAAATTTTTTAACTTAAATAAAAAATAATAAAAAAATATTTATTATAAATTTATATATATAAAATTATGATTATTTTAAATCATAATATTAATGATTTAAATCAAAAACAGCAAATAAAAGAAGGAATTATTATTTAATAGTTTAGCTATTTAATCATTAATAAATAGCTTAATTTGTATGTAAAAATTTAGTTCCTGCAATTTTTTAACATTATTTTATTTTTAAATTAATTTAATATCCATCTCTACATTTGGTGAATTCTGTTGTATTACATTCAACACAATTAAAGTATTATCTATCGCATGAAACACAAGATTTATTATTTTTAATATTATCTTTCCATTCATCATAAAGAGCCTCCAAACATTCTTTGCATTCTCCAAAATTATTAGTTTAATAACATCCCTCTATGTAAAAGTTTAAAGAATGATATTAAACTTATTTGCTTTCTTTGCATTATTTATCAGACTTATCATATGAATACCCATAATTACATTTTTGGCAAAAAACAGGACTGCATCTTTAGCAATTACTGAATCTACTACTACAACTAAAACATTTTTTATAAAAATAATTCGAATTATTCTCAAAATCTAAAAAATAGCCGTCTAAACATCTATAACATTCATTTTAATTTTAAGTACATCTATCACATCCTTAAATACAAGAACTTCCATATTTTATTTCATTTTCTATTACATCATCTTTATGGCAATAATTAGTTTAACGAAACGAAAAACCTGTATAACATCTAGTGCAATTATATCTATTACATCTTTAACAATTATCAAATCTAATAGTGCAACTAACACAAGTTATCTCCCCTTTTTAGTCAACATTTAAATAATAACCATCCTTACATTCGATACATTTTTTAGATAGAAGACATATATTGCACTCTTCATTGCAATAATTTCCAGTATGTTTATCTAAAAAAGTATTATTTTCAATGCATTATGTTTCAGAATTAAAAAGAAAATATCCATTAGCACATTCAGAGCAAATATTTTGAGTACATTTTATGCAGTTACTGAATTTAGATTGGCAAGTATAACAGTCATGATTATCTTAATTTTAATAATAACCTTCTTAACATACAGTTGAAGTATTTACAACGTCATCATTTTATTATTGACTAGATTCGGTCAATATTACAAATATTAATAAGTTAATTAGAATTAGTTTTTTGAAAATTATTT